AAGGCGCTCTTCTCCAGCACCACAGCTCAAATTAGTTCATTTTCTTCCTATTTGCTTTCTTTATTGTCCAGCTCTCACATCCGTACATGGTGATGTACAATGGCTTAGACAATTCTAACTTTAGTGTTAATTGTATATCATTACAATTTAGGATCTTTTTTTTAGTTTTTTCATAGCTGCCCTTCCCATTCCTAGCCTTCTTCTGATTTCTTGACTGCAGTCTCCACTATGACCAATATTTGATCCAAGGTAGGGAGCTCCTTAACTATTTTGATTTCCTCATTACCTACCGTAGATTGAATTTATGTAGATCCTCTATGGTAATTATTTTTGATTTTTTTATGTCCAGCAGTAAGCCTGCCTCTGGACTTTCTTCTTTGACCTTCCTTAGTAATTATTTGAAGTCTGTAACATTTTCTGCTAGTAATAAGGTGTCAACTACACTGCAGAAATAATGCAGTTTGACACCACTTTTAATTGTCATGGCTCCATCCTACAAACTCCTCAGATTTGTAGTTTGGTGAGGCCCCAGCCCTCTTTGGCAGAGAGGGCTAAAGACCTTGTAAAACTAAAAATCCCCAGATTCCAAAGATGGAGCTACAGCACTTAAAAGTGGTGTCAAATTGCATTATTTCTACAATGTAGATACACCCCTGGAGTCCAACAACATCCAAAGGCCCACAGGTTGCCATCTCCTGTCTTAAGAGGCGAGAACAAGCGGACTCTCATTCCTACCTACCCCTCTTCAGAGATCACAGATTTGGTGGCCTCAGGGGTCCAAGGGGCTCTGCCTATTTTCTGACTAAGATGGGGAGGGAGAGTGTACTGTTGTGGTTTGAGCACTGGACTATGGCTCTATAGAGACCAGGGTTCGAATCACAGCTCAGCCATATAAACCCACTGGGGTTACCTTGGGCAAGGCAAACTTTCTCAGCCTGAGGATGCATGGTGACCAGATGTCCTTACCACAAGGAGGCCAAGGCACTGCAAAATGTAAGACCTTCAAGAAAAATGTAGGACATTGCGCCATAAAAGCTCGGAACATTCATATATGTAAATCTAAATCCATGCTTGTCAGCTGTGCTCAAAATGGAGGGCATCTTGGAATTCCTCCTGGACAGAAGGCTGAAGTGGAGGACATGTCCTGGAAAAGGAGGACTTCTGTTCTGAGAGGATGGCAATGGGCTGGCAACCCCTCTTCTAAAGATACTTACCGTACCAAGAATACCCGATATGTTTGCCTTAGGGTCACCACAAGTTGGAAGCAACTTAAAGACACACAACAACAAATAGGAAAAAGGGACTTGGATGGGATGTGGAGGCTGTTACACATAAGATTGAAATGTTGGACATGACCTGGAAAAGGAGGACATCTGTTCACTCTCTCTCAGCCTCAGGGGATAACAATTGGGTTGGTTTTAGATAGTATAAGAGCCAGAGTGATGTAGTGGTTTGAGCACTGGACTATGACTCCAAAGACCAGGGTTCAAATCCCCACAATGAAAACCCACTGGATGATGTTGGGTAAATCACATACTCTCACCCTAAAGAAATAACAATCTGGGTCCAAAACTCACTGCAGAAATAATCCAGTTTGAAATGGCTTTAACTGCCCTGGCTTAGTGCTAGGGAATCATGGGAATTGTAGTTTATTGTGGCACCAGAGCTCTCTGAAAGAGAAGGCTAAATGTCTCACAAAACCACAGTAACCAGAATTCTCTAGCATTGAGCCAGGGCAGTTAAAGCCGTCTCAAACTGGATTATTTCTGCATTCTATTTTGGATCTTAGTGCCTTTGCAGACTGCTAGAAATAGTGCAAATTGAGTCCACT